GAGAGAGAGAAGGAGGGAGGGAGAGAGACACCTTCCAAATTGGAAAGAAAGTGGTAGAAAATTTTAAAAAAAAACCCTACCTATTCACAGACGTCATGGTCCTGTGTATAGAGAATTCCAGAGAATTCATAAGAAAGGTGGATGCTTTTGCAGACCTGCTGGCCACACCAGCACCCAGCACCAGTTGTTTCCGGGTTTGGGGGTGCACCTCAGTGGTGGGCCCCCCCCCCACATACCCAAGGCCTTGGGTTAAATTCCTAGCACCCCCACCCCTGCCAAATTCTGTGTGTTTCTACACTCTAGTGATGGCTGATCTGAAAAGGAAATTTAAAAAGGTTTAAAATACCATTTAAAAGAATCAAAGAATAAATCTGACCAAGGGGCTGAGGATGCATATCCTGAAAGCTGCGACACTCGGCTGAGAGGGACGAGGCTCTCAGTGAATGGAAGGACACCCCGTGTCCATGGATGGGAGACCCACCTTGGCGCCAACGCTGACTGCCGTGTCCTAGGGGACCACACACCTCCACTGGCGCCCCAAGAGCCCTTTGCACAAAATGGAAAAGCCCAGCCTCAAATTTATATGGGGTTCAAGGGACCCAAACAACAACAACAACAACAAACACTTGAAAATCAATCGATTCAGAGAACACCCAGTTTCCGGGCCAGGACTGACCACAATCCTAGAGCGATGGGAACCGCGGGCCCGGCCGGCAGAGGACACGGAGACAGAGGGAGGGGAAGCCCGGGAGCCCACCCTCACACCTGCGGCCAGGGATTCTGTTTTACTCTTTGTCAGTTGTAGGTGGACACAATAGCTCTGCCCCTGGGCCCCAGCCCCAGCCCCGGCCAGTTGATGGGGAGACCACGCAGCGGGTCAGAACAGTCTCTTCAACAAATGGTGCTGAGAACACTGATTTCCATGTAAAAAGGGATAAATGTGGATCGTTATACAAAACCTAACTCATAAGGGGTCCGAGACCTGAACTCAGAGCTTTAGAAGAAGACGTTGGGGAGAATCTCCGTGAACACACACATCTCATGTTCCCATGCACAGGACGCCGAGGCCCAGCGACGGAGGAGAGAAGGTCCAGGGTATATGAAGACCTGTGTGGTTCCATAGAAACCAACGCAATCAAAACCAAGAGACAGGAGCAGAGGTTTCCTTAAAGGAAACACAATCGGCCACGGTGCCCTCAGAAGGTGCCTGCGACCCTGGCCACCGGGAGATGCAAGTCAGAGCCACAGGAGTAAGTGGGATGGAGACGGCCGGTGGCCGGGCTGGAGAGGGACATGCTTGCTTGGTGGGGACAGAGGGTCCATTCGGGAAGGTGCTGCTGCTGACGGGGCTCAACAGTGTGATGGCGGAGGCCCGGGGACTGTGCGCTGATAAATGGTCAAATAATAAGGTTTCACGTGTATTTAACGTGACTGAGAAGGCAAGAGAATTGCTAACGGGCGGGAAAAGTCGAAGTCAAGGGGCGGCCGCTGGCCGGCTTCCCTGCTCACCTCCCGCCCTTCCACCTGCTGGCCTACTGTCCCTGGAGTTGAAATGACGGAAGTGACTGTCCCTCCAGGTGACCGATCCCCAGAGGCTCTGAGACAGCACAGCCGTCCCCAGGCCTCACGGCTCCTGCTGTTGGGCACTTGGCACAAGCTTCATTGAGACATGTGACACACAGAGAATCGGGCCGCAGAGAGGACAGCTAGAAGGAGCAGCCAGCCAGCACCTCCCCAGAAGCCCGGTGTCCCCTCCGGTCACTGCTGCCCTGGGGGAGCCGCCAGCTTTGCCCCATAGAGCAGTTTGCTGCTTTGAGCTGGACACCTGCGGATGGGCAGGCCTCCTCACTGCCAGGTGGGGAGCCTCGCCATGTCCACGCACGGCGGCCCTGGGGGGAGGCTGCACCCCGGCAGGCCCCGGCAGCCTTGCTCCCAGCCCTCTGCCCTGGGGCAGGGCTCGGGCACTGCGGCCAGCGGCGTGGGAGCGTCCCTGCTGCCTTAGGCTAACCCACGCTCCGTGTTGCTGGCCTCTTCTGTTTAGCCCCTCTGGTGGGGGCAGCTTGAGGTCCCTGACTGTCCCACCCCCTCTGCTTCCACCGGTGCAGAGCTCCGGGCCCTCAGTGCCTCAGGGACATGGATTTGTGGCCAGCTCCCCCGCACACCATCCTTGCCGCAGCAGGAAAGGGCCCCGGAGCCCTGAGCACCCCAGCCAGGCGACTCCCAGTGCCCACGTCCTGTGCGACATCCTGTACCCAAAGGCCATGTGTCCCAAAGGCTGGGTCACCAGCCTGTGGCACTATTAGGCGGTGGGCTTAGTGGAAGGAGCTCAGGTCGTGGAGCTGTGCCCTGGAGGGGTGCTGGGACGGGCCTCCTCTCTCCCTGCTCCCGCCGTGGTGCTCAGCCTCACCACAGGCCCAAGGCAACCGCCACGGGACGGCGGGCCGAGACCTCCGAAATGAACGCGCCTTTCTTCTTCAGGTGGCTGTCTCAGGTATTTTGTCGCAGCTACAGAAAACCAACCCCCTGCACCAGACAGAGTTGACGGTGTGCAGAGGGCTCGGCCCAGCAGCTGCAGGCCCCAGGAGCCCAGGCCAGTTCTCCCCTCCTGGGCCGGTGCCGCCTCCCCCGCCTCTCAGGGATGCCAGACCGCTTTGTCCACTGCAAAGGCCAGCAACATGACCTGTTGTCCCCTTCCAGGTGCCTTGGTGGGCAGGCTGTGGGTGGGTGGGGCCAGGGGACCAGCGGTGTCCCTGGGCGCCGGCTCCCTGGGTCCCTGGCTCTGACTTTCCCACGTGACCCCCTCTCTGTCCCTCCTTTCTTGGAATCTCTTTCTCTGACTTGGTGGGTCGGGGGCACGTCTCACTGCCCCCTTCCCTGCATGGGGGTCCCAGGAGGCACCACCCCCCACGGGGGGCCACCCCCATCTCAGCCGTGGCCCCAGCACCTGCTTTAGGAGCCCACGCGCCCTGGGCCCTTCTGCCCGCCGGGAGCACCCCGCCCAGCAGCTCTGGGTGGGGGCAGGAGAAGTCACCTGGCCGCAGTCCCTGTGCCTCCACAAGGACCACCCCACAGGTGCCAGGGCCGTGCCAGCCTGGGGAGAGCACCCTGCGTTCTGGAAATTAACCCAGGAAGGACGTTACTGCTCGTGTGTCCGCCACCCTCTGTGCCAGGCCTGTGCCCGCACCTTCTCACGTGAGCAAGGGTGATCTTCATGGGGACCTGCAAGGGACCTGCCACTGTCACCCTCGGTTTAAAAGCAAGAGAGTGAGGCGGAGGGAGTGAGGTGAAGGGGCCGGCCTTGAGCCACACACGGGTCCTGTCGCCCCCCCCCCGCCGTCTTGCCTGGAGAGGACACTGGGCAGCCCCGGGGGGCACCCAGCACACCTGGAGTGGGGCCGAGTCTCCACTATGGTAGGAGGGTCAAGGGAGGCAGCCTGGGCAGGACAGGGCAGCTGGGGAGCAGGGTACCTGGCAGTGGGCACCACAGGGCAGAGGCCAGAGGCAAAGGGGTCGGCTCTGGGGGGAGCTGAAGGCCCTCGGTGGGCTCCAGGACCCTTGGGCAGGTCTGGGGCTGGGAGGGCTGGGTGGGCTCTGGCACTGCTGGCCCTTCTGCTGCTGCCCGGGGGAGCTACTCATCATATCATGGGAAACTAGAATGTTCTTAGGTTCTGAGTTCCCTCTCCGCATGGAAATATGGAAAATTCCTCTCGTATTCCCCAGACAGACACGTCCCTGCCAACCCCTCTGTCTCCGGGAGCCCAGGGGCACAGATCTTGCTGGAGCTGCTACTGACCCACCCTTTCATCCTCCTCTGCCCTCTGGTCATCTACTGTCCCCACACAGCCAGCCACCCACCACCTGCCCATCCACCCATCCATCTATCCATATCTACCTGCATCCACCCATCCACCCACCCCTCCTCCACCCATTCAATCCCCCATCCACCCATCAGTCCATCTACCCGTCCATCATCCACCCACCCTATCCACACATCCACGCATCCACCCGGCCACCATCCTTTCCTCTATCCATCCTCCCATCCACTCACCCATGCCCCCATCCATTCACACATCCACCACCCATCCAGCCACCCACCTCCCATCCATCCACCTACCCACTCATGCACCCGTCCACCCATCCACCCATACTCATCCGTCTGCCCACCCCTCCAACGATCCATCTATTCTTCCATCCACTTATTCACCCACCCATCCACCCTCTTCCACCCACCCATCCTCCTGTCTCCCACCCTCTCGACACCCACCCCTCACACTCCCCACCCACCCCATACCCACCCTACCCTTTCACTGTCTGCTCACTGGTGTGTCAGTGCGATTTGTGTCACTATAACAAAATGCCGAGTGTCATTAGGTTAAGTTTGTAACTTTATTTAGTGGATAGTCCAGGTTCAAGGGGAGGCACAGGCGTGGTCTGGGCTTCTCCTGGTGGGTGGCATCCCGACAGCTGGGGCACGTGTGGGAGGAAGGGACACACCCGAGCCAGCGTCAGGAGCCGTTCAGGGGTCCCAGGAGAGCCCTTGCAATCCCCCAGGCCGCCCAGCCGCCTCTCTGGCTTCCTTTTGTCCTATCTGCGGCCTCCGCCCTGCCCGCTGTGGCCCTGGAGTGGCAGCCCAGCTTCCCGTGCCCACTGCACACGGGCTGCTCCTCAGGCTCTGCAGACCCCCTGGGCCACCTCACACCCACCACCAGCACTGAGGACAGCAAGGGGTCCCCAGCCTGCCGGCCAGCCTGGCTGTCCTCAGGGGACTCGCTGCCTGCTCGGCACCCCCTCTCCTCCCGCCAGCCCCTCCTGCACCCTCCTGGGGACTCCACCTCTGCTCAGAGCCAGCAGGGGACACTGGCTGAAGCCTCCCAGACCGGCTGGTTCTCTAGTGCACACCTGGGGGCTTCCCCGGGTGGCCACCTCCACAGCCATCGCTGGCCCAGAGGACAGGCACATACATGACACCGTGGACAGAGGGAGGCTGGAGCCCTTCCGATGCCCGTGGTCAGTCTGCCAGGGCTTCCTTCAGTTGGCACAGAGGGACGCGCCCTCCTCCAGGCCCACGTGTCCCCACAGGGTCAAGCCTGTCCCTCCCACCAACCCTGGTCCTTCTGGTCTTGAATGAGGCACCCTGTCACTCTCTGTGGCCAGTGCTGGGGACACTAACTTGAGTGGTTGGGTTTGATTCTGGGAGCCGCGGGGGCAGGCGCCCTCATTCACCAGGGGCGCTGAGAGGTCTCCGGCTGCCCCTGGAGGACACCTGCCCAGGGCCCAGGGGCCTGGACCGGGGTCTGGCTTGGCCCTCAGTGACCTGGGCTGTCCCTGTGCAGGGCAGACGGGCCTGAAGGGTGTGGGTGCAGGATTCAGTGCCTGCTCCCAGGGCCCCGTGCCCAGGAGGGCAAACCGTGGTCATCTGAAGCACAGAGCAGGGGATGGACCCAGTGGGAGCCGCCTGGACGCTGCTCCTTCCCACAGCACCCCTCCCCCGCCCGCTGACCTCCCAGGCCCCTGGGGGAGGGAGCAGAAACCTCCTCTTTCTCAGGCTCGAGGAGGGGCGGGCCCTGTGGTGTGGGAGGCTGCCCGAGTCCCTTCTTTCCCTAGACTGAGCCAGGGGGCTTCAGGAAGGGCTGACCGGGCAGGGCTCACCTCCTCTTAGCACGCCCTGAAGCAGGAAGAGGAGCACAGAGAGGCGCGTAATGCAGCAGGGTCACACAGCACAGGACGGGACGGAATCTGTCGTTCCTCCCAGGTGCTGGAGGCCCGTCTTCTCCACCGCGTATGTATCCATCTTTCCATCATAATGAGCTGTTTTTCTTTTAAATTCAAGTTCCATTTACATGCGGTGAAACGCCGGTTCTGATGTGAAGGCTCATGACTTCCTACCTGGGTCCACACGGGACATTTCCATCACCTGGACAGTTCCCTGGTGCCCTCCTAGTGAATCACCATAGGGTCACTTGGTGGCTCTTGGGCTTTGCACACGTGGACTAAATGGTGTCTCCTCCTTGGCTCTGGCTTCTTCTGCTGAGCACGCTATTTCAAGGCTCGTGGCTGCTGTGTGTACCGTGCACTGTCCCTTTTTTTCCACTGAGTAATATTCCATGGCGTGGATCTACCGTCTGCCTGCTGGTGGACGTGAGGGCACGTCCAGTGGGGTGGGGTGAATGTGGTTTCTGTGAACTTCCAGGCACGAGGCAGCTCTCTGTGGACATCTGGGCTTGTTTCCGGTGGGCAGTGGTTTGCTGGGCTCTAGGGGAGACCGAGACTTAGCCTATGAGACGCTGTGAAGCCTTTAGAAATGGCTGTGGAAAACGTCGAAGCAGGGAGGAGGGGGTAGACTCTGGTGGCCACCCTGCACATCCCCAGAGCCATCTGGGGTGCTCCCTAGTGTGGCAGGACGGTCTCTGCAGAGGGGGTCTTGCCGGGCAGACCTTCTCCAGGGAGCCCCCAGCCTTCCGGGGACCCCAGCCTGGGCCACTGACCTCCTGGGCTGAGGGCCTCCGGAGAGGTCACCCGCTCTGGGAAGGCCAAGGGGCTGTGTCCAGTGGACCCCACCTGGGAACAAACGGGAGGTGACGTGGGGCCCCTCCCCCACCGTGACTCCTCCTGGTGGCCCGGAGGCCAGGGGCGGCCTCACCTCCCCGCCCTACCTCAGCCTCCTGCTCTCTGTCCCTGCGCTGCCACTTGCGGGTCCCGGCAGCCAGTTCTGCAGGCAGCTCTGGGATGCAGCTGCTGGTGGTGTTGGGGTAGGGGGGGGGGTGCGTGTGCAAATGCACACTCCAGCCAGACCATTTCCTGAGCCCCTGCAAGGGTCCCGCGTCAGCCCCTGCAGGG